GTTAGGAAATCACAAGTCTGTTGAAGGGATACAAGGAACAAGGCTGGAGGTGAAAGGGGAGAATTATATTGCAAGCATATGTCACTAAATGAATAGAGCACAGCCTTAAATATAAGATTTGGGGTGAAGAAAATTTACATAGAGAGTTTTAAAAGGTTGATCATTAAAGGAAGAGTTATCACCTGACAACTCTTTTTTTTTTTTTTTTTTTTTATGAAGAAAGAGAGTATACAACCAAGCATTACTCAAGGAACACATGACTGAAAAACTGACAAAACTAAATAACCCTGGGAAGTAACTGGAAATGGTACCCAAGTGGAGATTGGCCTTTCACCTTACAAAGGAGAAAAAGAACAATCAAAGTTGAAAAAACACTGAGAAAGAAAAGCCAGTCAAAGCTGTGAAAGCTAAATTAAATTTCCTAGAACAAGGTAGAAGAATCCAGTAAGATATAACCCAGAGGCAAATGGAATGCCAACACTCTTTGAAACATAAATGGCTGCCTAATGCATTTTACAGATACATGTGAAATGGGGATAAAGGCTAATGTAATTGTTCAACAATGTGGTACAGATGATGAAATCTAAGCACTTAATTTGGAAAAGAGTATAGTATTCAGATGACTGCCTTGATTACTGTGAAGAGTATGACATGTCTGAATGGACTTGACAGGGAAAATGGACTATTCTCCATAATTCAGAAATCTCAAGCTAGTTATTTCTTCTAGGAACAAGCATTTTATTCAATCAGTTTTCCTTTGATTGTTTTTTGACAATGTTTGGGACACCAACATCACCAATAGAAAAGACACTTGAACCCCCAAACAGAATTGGATTTGTTCTACAAATCTAATTGTATATATTATTTCCCAATGTGTCTAACTTGTAATTTGATTAAGAGATGGATTACTAAATAAGAAGCAGTTTTACAATGAAAAACTAAATTCCTATTCTTATTTTGCTTCCAAAATACTTATTATAACGGAACATCAAGAAGTGTGTAGTGAGTGATTCTGTTTACTAATCTTTCACTACTGAGGCTCCATCAGAAGAGATATCATTGCATTAGTGGGTTCTCTGCTTGGAACCTAGAGAAACACCCTGGAAAGACATGGAGGCACAGAGGAAGGAGAAACTTATCCTTTTCGAGACTGTTGGTTCTCAAATAAGGAAAAGGGAAACTACCCAGTTCCAGACCCAGTGAATTTCCTGTGGTGTTTTATCTGGTCTCCATGGAGAGGGCTTTGGGAAGTACTTGTCTTGTCAGATGGGCCTTCTCTGTTCTTACTCAACAGCCAGTTCACTGCTATTCACAGAGGACCACCTCCAGTCAAAGCTGGAGGTGAAGTTTGTCTTTAACAATCCTTGCTTTCCTCTTTTGACCCTTCTTTGTGCCAGTGACCCTCCTGCTGCCCCAGTCACAATAATGGAATTAATTTAGCTACACTTATTTTGTTACTTGCCTTGGAGGAAGTAGTATTTCAAGACAAATGTTACCTTAAAAGTGAAATTCCAAGTATCAAAGTGAAATTTTTAGATAATGTTTTTGGATAGCTAATTTTACATTTTGGATAGCTAAATCTTAGATAAATAGAGCTGACGATATTTTAAAAATCATCAAACTTGGGGTGCCTGGGTGGCTCAGTTGGTTAAATACCCAACTTGGGCTAAGGTCATGATCTCATTGTTCATGAGTTCGAGCCCTGTGTGGGGCTCTTATGCTGACAACTCAGGGCCTCAAATCTGCTTTGGATTCTGTGTCTCTCTCTCTTTTTCTGCCTGTCCCCTGTGCTCTCTGTCTCTCTCTCAAAAATAAATAAATACTAAAAAAAAATTAAAAATCGTAAAACTTAATACACTAGAGGAATTATAATTAAAATATACAACTGTTTCTCCATTCAGTCTTCTCAGATTTTTTTTAGCACACTAGTCCACATTGCTAATGGTCTCTTATTAGGTTCATGTGATATGGTTCTGAGTTTCTAAATATTTTCAGTACAATAAAGCTATGATAAGATCGCCTTAGAGTCCTATTATCTTTTTGCTTGGTATGCATCTGAAAGGAACAACATCCATCCAAATATCTTCTGTTTACATTGTCACCAAAAGGGAAAGTTGCATGTTTCCACTTATCAATGACAAACCAAGCCATGACACCCATTTGAATGATTGCCTCTCCCACTTCCAACACTAAGAACAATAAAAAAGAAATATGGGGGTGCCTGGGTGGCTCAGGTGTTCAAGCCCTGCATCGGCCTCCATGCTGGCAGTGTGAAGTCTATTTGGGATTCTTTTTTTCTCACTCTCTCTCGGCCCCTCCCTTCCTCTCTCTCTCTCTCAAAATAAATAAATAAACTGAAAATTTTTAAAAATATATGAATCAATAGTGGGATGCATTTTTTGCTCCTTTTCTCCTTCAGCTTACTAAAAGAAAAGCATAAGAGTAGCTGAATACAAATTATAACATCAGAATATGTTACTGGCTGATATAGAAGGTTCCTGTGGGTGTGTGTCTCTTCCTAACATTCATCACATGTATAATGTGCTTCAAAGTTCACCACAGTAAATCTTTTGGTTCTCAGAATTATAGTCTCCCAGCTGTTAAAAACCACTGCACACAGCCCCAAACCCCAGAAAGGTATGACTCCCTGTAGTACACAGATTGTCTTTCCCAATGCCTAGAGGGGATAATCAATTAATTTTAGATTGGGAAGTAACAGGATAATATAACCAGTTTTTTATTGAGTGAGCCAGCATTTAACATCATTGTGCTTCTTTTTCTTCAGTACACATGGCCTCATAATTTACCTATCCCACTGGGTCTTTGTTAAGATTAAATAAAATAATGTTTATAGAATGCCTGGCAAATAAAAATCACTTAATGAATGGCAGCCATTACTATTGTTCTGCCAATATTTGAGTTTAGAGAATGATTTTGTTCTTTGAGGAGGTTGTAGAGTTGGTTTGCGGTGGGTTAGAAAGGCAGAGAGTAGATTTCAGAAGAAAACTTAGAATTATTATTAAATTAAGCTATATGCAAAGCGATCATGAAAAACAGCAATAATAGCAGATTGCTACCAAAAAAGATCTTAAGGGACTTTCAATGAAACTTGTCAAAAATACCACCAAAGGAAATAGAGATATGCTCTAGGCTAGGTTGTGCCTAACTTAATTTAAGCAACTGCATTCTTATACAATTGGGAACAAGGCAGATACATAAATTGCAAAATACATAAAACGAGGTTTTTTAAAACACACAGCATACCTCTGCCGTCTGACTTTATACTGGAAACTAAAGTTACAGGTAACGCAGATGTGCTTATGGTCTTCAGCTATTTAACAAGAGGCTCTTTATATTAAGTATGCTGGGTTACTGAAAAAAGATTTCCTTTGTCATTAGATAATGACGGGAGAGAGCATTTCCTATATACTGATAGGCTGGTGGATCAGAGCATATGTAAAGATTGTCTTCTTCGGCCGATGAGAGACATTTTCTGAGCTACGTTTCTCTCTACTTAATCTCTAATGTGGCCTGGACACCTCTCTGACATCTCTTTAATGACTCAAAACCTCCCCCAAATCAGTATATCCAAAAAAAAAATCTCATCATCCACCCCTTCCCTTCTGATTCCAGCCCCAACCTGCTCCTCTTCCTAAGTTCCTTGCCATATCCTTGTCATAGAGAAAGGTACTATTACCCACAACCTGTTCAGTTTTATAAGCCAGAAATTTAGGAATCATTCTTGACCGTAACCCTCCTTTCCTTTCAAATCCAGTCTGTCATCAGGAACTATTGATTTTAGGGGCGCCTGGGTGGCTCAGTCGGTTAAGCGTTCGACTTTGGCTCAGGTCCTGATCTCATGGTTTGTGGGTTCAAGCCCCGCATCAGGCTTGTGCTGACAGCTAGCTCAGAGCCTGGAGTCCGCTTCAGATTCTGTCTCTCTCTATCTCTGACCCTCCCCTGCTCACACTGTCTCTCTCTCTCTCTCGAAGAAATAAAACATTAAAAAAAATCTTAAAAAAAAAAAAAGGAACTGTTGATTTTACTTCCTGAATTTCTCCCTCTGTCCATTTCCCTTGACTCCCCCGCCATCAGTCTAGCTAATCTACCATCCTTTCTCTCCTGAACTACTGTGATAGCCTCTTAACTGGCCTAACTCTGTATGCTCCCCCACCAGCACGGCAGCCCTTATACCCAAACTATCCTCACATCATAGCATGAACCAGATCGTATTATTCTATCGTGCCAACCTCACGCTTAAAACTTTTGGATAACTTTTGAGGTTCTTAGTATGAAGAGAGGAAAAATGCCTTAACATGATCTACAAAGCCCTGTCCTGCCTTCTTCACCTATAATCTACTTCATGAATAATCTATTCTTTTTGTCTCTGTTCCAGCCACACTAGCCTTTGTATGGTCACCGTGCTTCCTCTGGCACAAGGCGGTTCTGGCTCTTCCTGCTGCCTGAACCACTCTTGCCAACCCTTTGGCCTAGTTACCTGTTCAGATTTCAGTTCAGTCGTCACTTTCTTGAAGAAACCTTCCTTGACTTCTGGACCATATCAATCCCCTGTTACTACTTTCATAGCCCCTTGCAACTTTCCTTTATAGTCCTTAATGAAGCTGGGAGTTTATTTTGTTTACCAGATTGGTGCTTTTCTTTCCTATTAATATGAAAATTCCAGGAGACAAGGGACCACATCTATTTTTGAGACCATTTAGCCCCATCCCAAGTACAGGGTATGTGACCTAGTAGTACTCAATAACAAATATTTAGTGAATGAATAAATAATGAATGTCAGGTAAGTTTTCCACATTGTTTTCGGTGAAGACACTTTACTGTTTTTGTGTAAAAGGAAAAAAGAAGACGTAGCAGGTAGTCTGTTGTGTAATGTCCAGTTTGGTCTATGAATATAATTATGAAAATGGTTAATTCAACCAAATCAAGGTAAGGCTATAAGGTTTTGCAAAAATTGAGTTCCTAATTTTTTTTTTTTTTACCTTTAGTTTTAAAGAGTTCAGTTTTTCCTCCCTGAGGTGTTCTCTCAACATCTCCCGGTGAAGCCTCTCCTGTTCTCTTGCAAATTCACCAAGAGTGTACTGGCGCACACTGTTATGGCGGCTGGACATGCCCAGGGTGCTACCCCCTTGACTGGGCACGCTCGTGAAGCCTTGCCTCCTGGTGAAGTAGTACACGGTGACACAGCTAAAATGCACATTCTTTGTCCTTAGCCGCTTCTCCCTTTTGAGGATGGAGGAAGCTGAAAGAGAAAGAAACAGTTCAGTGAACACCTAGGGCAGCAGTCTTCAGATGAGGTGAAGATTAAAAAGTGTCACTTGATGCTATTGAATCTATTGTCCACCCTTTTTGGCTAGGAGACACTAAACATGTTGTATCTGAGAGCTGGCACAGATTTCGATTTCCTTTCTTAAATTTTCTTCTAGCTGTAGTAGAGTAGACTTTTAAGTCCTCTATAATGGTAGTCTAAGCAAACTTTCAGGAAACTTGCCAATAGTCTGTGAGTCAGCGGCAGAATTTAACTTATTTCCCCTAATGTCTTAACTTTTGGTTTTATGGTTTTCATGTGAATGCATCATATTCTAATCAGAAAAGACACACTACAAACTCTTATATATATATTTTAACGTTTTATTTATTTCTGAGAGACAAAGAGACAGTGTGAGCAGGGGACGGTCAGAGAGAGAGGGAGATACAGAATCTGAACCAGGCTCCAGGCTCTGAGCTAGCTGTCAGCATAGAGTCCAATGTGGGGATCGAACCCACAAACGGTGTGATCATGACCTGACCTGAAATCGGATGCTTAACCCACTGAGCCACTCAGGCGCCCCATGAATCTTATTTTGATATTGAGGGCACTTGGCAAAAAAAAATGTCTATGAATTTCAGAAAATTTCAAAAGGCAATAAAAACCTTACAAAAAAGGTTCATTGGCACTATTGAGACATTTTCACAACCTAAATCTAACAAAGCTTTCATTTGATAAGAACCCCACTAACATTACAGACAGTGGGATTTTAATATAGGTATACATCGAGACAATTGAAAATGGCCACAAAATACATCAGAATCTTTATTATTATTGGGGACATCAAGATGCATTGAGCATCACGGAAGTTTGAGATATTACTGTATTTGAGAAAAAGAGAGGTACACATCATAAACATGACCTCTTTAGAGTTGAAAGACACACTAGACATCATCTCACCCAGTCCTTCTATTTTATAAAGTAACACAGACTTACAGAATTTGAATGAGTTTTTCAATGCAGGTAGTTAGTGACAAAGCTAAACTTAAACTGAAAAGTCCCTAATCTGGTGCCACATTATATGAACTTTTCAATTGGGGAAGGAAAAGTACACTGAATTGAGGGGAAAGATATAGAATCATGCTCTTATGGATCATTTCCCCTCCTCCTCCCCCGATACACTGAAGTTCTAACTCTCAACACCGCGAGATGTAACCTTATTAGGGAATAAGATCTTTACACAGGTGATTGAGTTGAGGTAAGGTCATTAGGGTGGGTTTCAATGGAGTACAACTGGTGTCCATATAAAAAGGGAGAACTTAAACACATACATGGAGCGATGATGTAAAGAGACAAAAGGAGAAGTTCATGTGAAGATGAATACCGAGACTGGGAGTATGTGGCAGAAAGCTGAGAGATGCCTTGGGCTACCAGAAGCTGGAAATGTAAGGAAAGCTACAGTTTTCAGAGAGAGCATGGGTCTGCTAACACATTGATTTCAATCTAGTCTCCAGAATGGTGAGACAAGAAATTTCTGTTGTTCTAAGCCACTGAGTTGGTGGAACTTTGTTCCAGTTGTCTTAGGAAACTCACATGCATGCTCAAGTAGACAAATAGGAACAATGCACTGAGCAAAAATCCTTGGGTAGCAACAAGTAATATAAACTAACACTTATGGAGCGCTTCCCAAGTGCTATAATATTCAAAGAATTTTACATGAATTATCTCATTTTATCCTTACAACTCCCTGGGTTGATATTACCCACGTCTCCACTTGAGGAAACCAAATCACCAAAGGTTAAATAACATTTCCAAAGTCATATAACCAGAAGTGAAGCTGGAATTCATTAATTCAGGATCCAGGCTCCTATCCTCCATGTCACAGAGAGAGCTGAAGCCATTCTAAGGGAGTTGAACAAGGCTGAATCTTGGTGTCATACTACTTCTGGTGGATGTCAACTGCTGCTGCCTTCAAAGATGATTTTGATTTGGAAGGCTGCATAAGCAATGAAAGAAAAGGGACTACAGTATCACTTTGAATATGTATAAGACTCTTTTTCCAAAGGGGTTCAAGTTCCTTTGCCTCACATTCACCTCCCCCCACTAAAACATTCAAGCCAAATACAGAGGGGCTGTATGATTAATCACATTTTATGAACTGATCTATTCAATAAATATAGACCAAGAGTCTACCAAGTCTCTGGCACTTTCCAGATGATTAGATATATTGGTGAAAAAAACCAGATGGTGTCTTCTGCCCACATGGAACTTCCATTTCCAGTGATGAGAAACTGAGACAGAATGAACAGACTCAGAAGTTTACAGAGTAAGAGAAATAATGACATTTGGGCAAGAATTTCATTTTCCCAACTTCCCCTCTTCTCCACTGTTCTACTTCTCCACAGGAGATTGCCGGAAAGCAAATGCTTTTAAACGTGTACACAGTTTTCCCATTTATTTATGTACATGTTCATTGCACGTACTTGTACTCCTGGCAGCAGAGGCAATTTTCAACTTTGATTTAAAACTCTGATGTGCTTCATAATGGTATGTTTAAATCATCTCAAAACAGGGAAGAATTTGTCAAAATGTAAAAGATTACCTTAGAAAGAAAAATTCAACAACCTCCTGAGTAATCTGACACCCTGACAGGCTCATCTGTTAACCACCTTACAGCAGGTGAGAGTCTCTGGTTTTGGGTAATAGCCTTTAATCTTTTTCACTTTTGAGATCATAAGATGATGCCCTAAGGCATTATCTTTCAAGGCCATGAATTTACAGATTAAAAAAAAGATTTTAATGAACTCTTTAAAATAATTATTATAATCATCTCTGATAATTTTATTACTAATTTTTAAAATATAACTCATGGTTGTCTAGGCAAATTTCAGCTTTAACATTTATATAGACCTGTACCTGTACTTTTTGATTATAAGGATTCTTTACTCTTCTGGATGAATCTATTGTGATATGAATCTACCATTTCCTAAAGAGCCAGATTACTTTTTCCCAAAAAGACAGAGTAAGGGACAATTTTCTAAGGCTTTCGGGATAACAACAGTGGCAGGTTGTAGAATCAGTCCCTTCCCCTGGGCTCTTGGCTTTGCTATCGTTGTCAAAGTGTGTTAGCATTAGATTGGTGTCAGTTCTTATCCACGAGGGTTTATAATTCAAACCTGTGCTCATCCTTTTTCTAGAATTTGCATATTATAAATAGCACCGTAAAAATAATGATCGAAATGCCTATGGATATATTTAAAAGAAAGGCTTTGAAATACTATAAGATCAGCCTTATGGGAGATATTTTAAATGTAGCTTTCCTGAATACAGGAGCCACCCACGCCTCTCTTCTGATGATTGAACTGGAGCACTAGAATGGGCCTTTATGGGCTATCTCCTGCCTCCAGGCCCCAATTTGACAAACATCACAACATGAAGTCATAAAAAGAGTGTGTGCTCTTCAAGCTTGGGAAAAACAGGCCAAATTCACTCAGCACATCTGCCTTAGGGAATCTGAAACCTCCCTTATATGCCTACCTAGTAATTTGTGCCCTTTGCAGAGTGACTGAACTCTACTTTGTGTCTCTACAGAGTTCAGAATTCACTTTACCACTGTGAGGTCAAGAGCGAGTAAAAAAAGGGAGAAGGTGTCTTTCATTACTGCTCTGAAAAATAATTAGTCTGTTTTCATACACACTAATTTTTTGGTGTCTTTCAACTTGTTTCCTTTTATCCTATTCACAGTTACCACTCTGAAGCAAAGTGGCTAAATGCAACAGTACTATGTATACTGCCCAGGACACAGCTCTTAAGAACACCATTATGGTTCTCATCAGGATATACTGGTTACTGTACAAGGATCACATATTATGGAGATGATATTGATCTTGGTAAACTAAAGAAATAAATAGCACAGTGTGATTGACGTTAGCTATCTGCAGAAGTTATCCTTCCTAAAATAATGCTTTGGAAATGAATGGAAAAGAGAATTGGGAAATTGCCTAATTCACAATTCCAGGATGAGAATGTAAGTAGACAAAATAAAATAATCCATACCATAAATTATATAAAAAGTTCATGAACAGAGTGGATTAAAACTGGAAGCCAAAACTAAGAAATTCTGATCCATATGTCAAGGGATCACAACTGAATCAAATTAAGCTCTAAGAAAATTCAACTGAATTTGCTTCACTTCCACATTTATAAACCAACCTGTTCATACAAATTGGATTACTCCTTCAGATCAACAAGACTATCTAGTTGATTTATTAATTTTATCTCTTGCTGAAAATAATCAAATTTGTTTCAGATTTATAAGTCAGTCGTTTCTGAATGTGGTTAGTATGTGTCATTCCATCTGAGGTTGCCTTCTATGCATGCAAGAAACCATCATGTGTCTGGGCCTGAAAAATTGAAGATAAGATCTTAGGCCCTTGATTCCATTATAGGGCAGTCACTCTGGAGCTAATGTTTGTTTGTTTGTTTTTAATTTTTTTTTAATGTTTATTTATTTTTGAGAGAAAGAGAGAGAGAGAAACAGACAGACAGAGTGTGAGCAGGGGAGGGGCAGAGAGAGAGGGAGACACAGAACCCGATGCAGGCTCCAGACTCTGAGCTGTCAGCACAGAGTCTGATGCAGGGCTTGAACTCACCCATCATGAGATCATGACCTGAGCTGAAGTCAGAAGCTTAAGCAACTGAGCCACCCAGGCACCCCTGGAGATGATGTTTGAACAGCAAACTAGTTACCCTCTCAAGGCACTTGGTTCTTTGTAGTGTCAACAACTATCAGCAAAGCCTTGGTATAGCTAGAAATGCAGAAAGCAGTAAACAGAACTATGTTTTCTGGACTTAAGTTTAGTACACAGAAGTTGAGAATTTGTGGTCCAGTCTGTGGAAAATATTAATTCTACCATTTGGGTCTAAATCAGTAATATACTTCTGTCTCCTATGCGGTATTCTCAGAAGGAAAGTACCAGATGATTTGTAAGTCT